CCCCAAACAGAACAAGCCTAAAGGAATCCACGCCAAGACACATCACAGTCAACCTTCTGAAAACTAAAGACCTAGAAAAAAATCTTGAAAGCAGCAACAGAGAAACAACACCTTACCTGTAGGGAAAAGCAAGTAGAATGACAGTGGATTTCTCACCAGAAACCAGGGAGGCCAGAAGGAAGTGGTACAACACTTCTCGAGTGGTGGGAAAAAAAAAAAAAAAAAAAACCCAGAATCTTCTACAAAGTGAAATTATCCTTCAGGAATGCAGGAGAAATCAAGGCATTCTCAGATGAAGGAAAAGTAGGAGAACACGTTGCCACCAGACCTACCCTTATCCCACGGAGAGAAGTTTTCCATACGAGAATCCACTAGGCATGTGGAAAACTTTGGCTGAGAGTGATGTGCTCACCAATTCCCTCTAATATGGACATCTATCATGCTGCCTGGTATAGGGAGGAGACATCTCAGGATTTCCCATTAGCTCCTAGTACAAGTCCGGCCTGGTTGCTGCCCCCAACCCCTCCACTGAAATTGCCCTTGCCAAAACCCCCAGCAACACTTGCATTGCCTAGTTCAGTAAATATGTTCTAGTGCTTACCATTCTGGAACTCAGCAACTGTTCCTGAGTTTGTCACTTCTTGCTCTGCTCTCCTTCTGTCTTCCTTCTGAACTCCCACTCTCTTCTCCTTCTGGTTTGATTCTCTCCCAGCCCTCTCTTTTTTTCTGTGCAGACACTCCTCCAGTCTCCTTCCAAGAATTTTCTTCTTTTGTCTGCCCCTTAAAAGAAGTTGCCCTTGGTCCCCTTCTATGTTCTCTCTATGCACTCTCCCTGCATGATCTCACTACATCCATGTCCTCAAGAACAATCCTGATGACTGCCAAATCTATATCTCCAGCCCTGACCTTGCTCTTGAAATCCCGAGCCATTTATCCTTCATCTCCGTCTGGATATCCCACAAGCATCTCAAATCTCACATACTCCAAACTGAACTATCTATCTTCCCACCAATACCTGGACCTTCTCCTTCAGCCCATATCTCCAGCAATGGCTCCAAAGTCTGCAGTTGCTTCACCCTGCCCTCAGGGAGCCATGCCAGAGCTTTTCCTATCCCTCCCTCACCAATGCCCTACTTTTTCACTTGGCTAACTTCTACTCACCCTTCAAGTTTCAGCTTGGACACCAATTTCTCCAGGAACATTTCCTCAACCCCACAGGTCTGTGTAAGTTACTCCTCCTATGTGTTCCTATAGCACCTTGAACTTCCCCTCTCATAGTGCCCATCACAGTATAGTGTTGTAATTGTCAGGTCCCTTGCCTGTATCTTCCATCAGACTACATGCAGGGACTTGATCTATTTTGCTCATTGCTATTTCCTCCATGCCTACCACGGTCTCAGGCATAGAGTAGGCATTCAATAAGTATTTGTTGAAGGAATGAACAAATGAATCATCGAGTCTCCAGCTGGGTTCAGCAGTATCAGAAATATGTAGCGAGAACCTACTCTGTGCCATTTTACTACCTAATTTTTCTTATTGAATCTGCCCCCCAGTGTTATCTACCAATGCCACCATCTTAGTTGAGATACCTATCATTTCTTGTCTGAAATACTGCAGCAGTGTTCTAACTCCAATCTCAATCCTCTCTGCTCTATTCTCCACACAGCTGCCAGAATGATCTTTCTGGAAACAAATCAAGTCATGTCACTCCCAAGCTTAATGGCCACAGTGAGTTCACTACAGCCTACAAGGTATTCCAAAACCTGAGCATAGCATAACAGAACCTCCATGTCTTGGCACCTGCCTGCCTCTTCTCCAGCTACATCAATCCCCACTCGCCCATGGGTACCTTACTCTCCAGCCTTAAGGAACTAATTGCAGGTCCTCCCAAATACCTTGGTTTCTCGTCATGCTACAGATCCCTTCACACACACACATTGTCCTCAAGTGGCTTGGCTGATCCACTCCTATGCTTTCAACAAACTGTTTATTGATCATTCCTTATGCACCATGACCAAGTGGGGTTTATCCCGTGAATGTAAGGTTGGTTCAACATATGAAAATCAATTAATGAAACACACCATATTGATAGAATGTGGGGGCGTGGACCTCATGATCATCTCATAGATGTGTGTGGGGGGGTAAGCATTCCAACACCCTTTCCTGAAAATAAATTCAACAAACTAGGAATAGAAGGGAACTTCCTCAACCTGATGAAGAGCATCTATGAAAAACCCACAGATAACATTATACTTAATGGTGAAAGACTGGGTGCTTTTCTCCTGGCATCAGGAACAAGACAAGGATGTCTGTTCTTGATACTTCTATTCAACACTGTACTCAAAGATTTAGTCAGTGCAATTAGGCAGGAAAAACAAAATAAAGGTATCCAAATTGGAAAGGAACAAGTAAAACTATCTCTATTCGTAGATGACATATTCATATACGTGTGTGTGTGTGTGTGTGTGTGTGTGTGTGTATAATCATTAAAGAATCCACCACAAAAACACAAGAACCTATGTGAATATGTAACAGATGAGCTCAGCAAAGTTGCAGGATCCCAGATCAATGTGCAACAGTCGGTTGTATTTCTACACACTAGCAATGAACAATCTGAAAATGAGGTTAAGAAAATAACTTCTTTTATAGTATCATTAAAAAGAATAAAATACCGAGCAATAAATTTAGCAAAAGATGTGCAAGACTTGTACCCTGAAAACTGAAAAACATTGCTGAAAGAAATCAAAGAGGATGTAAATAAAAAGGCATCCCGTGTTAGTGGATTGAACATTTAATATTGATAAGATGGCCATAATCCCCAAGGCAATATACACATTCGATGCCATGCCTGTTAGAATCTACCTGGCTTCTTTCCAAAACAGTTGACAAGTCAATCCTAAAATTCATATGGAATGCAAGGGATGCAGATATCCAAAGCAATCTTGAGAAAGAAGAGCAAAGTTGGAGGAGTCACACCTCCCAATTTCAAAACTTACTGCAAAGCTACAGCAATCCTAAAAAGTGTAGTACTGGCATAATGATAGACATATAGGTCAATGTCTTAGAATTTGGAGTCAGAAATAAATCCATACACCTATAAACAGTTGATTTTCAATAACAGTGCAAAGATCATTCAATGGAGGAATGAATAATGTCTTCAACAAATGGTGCTGGGACAACTGGATATCCACAGATAAAGGAATGAATTTGGACCCCAATCTCACACCATGTGCAAAAATTAATTCTAAAATGGATCGCAGACCTAAATGTAAGGGCTGAAACTATAAAACTCTTGGAATAAAACATAGACGTAAATCCCCATGACCTTGGATGAGGCAATGGTTATTTAAATATGACAGCAGGGGGCCAGCCCGTGGCTGAGTGGTTAAGTTTGTGGGCTCCCCTTTGGTGGCCCCGGGTTTGCTGGTTTGGATCCTGGGCGCAGACCTACACACCAGCTCATCAGGCTACGCTGTGGTGGCATCCCACATAGAAGAACTAGAATGACTTGCAACTAAGGTATATAACTATGTACTGGGGCTTTGGGGAGAAAAGAAAAAGAGGAAGATTGGCAACAGATGTTAGCTCAGGGCCAATCTTCCTCACCAATGAAAAAGAAAGAAAGAAAGAAAAAGCATACTTTATGAAAAAATATGACAGCAAAGGCAGAGCCACAAAAGAAAAAAAAAAAAGAGCTAAATTGTAGGCCATCCAAATCAAAAACTTTTGTGCATCAAAAAGGACTCTATCTAGGAAGTGAAAGGACAACCCACGGGATGGGAGGAACATTTGCAAATCATGTATCTGATAAGGGCCTATTTTCCAGGATGTACAAAGAACTCTTACAACTCAACAACAAAAAAGACAGGCAACCCAGTTAAAAAATGGGCAAAGGACTTGAACAGACATTTCTCCAAAGGGCAAGAGGCACATGAAAGGATGCTTAACATCATTAGCCCGTAGGGAAATGCAAATGAAAACCACCATGAGCTACCACTTCACACCCACTGGGATGGCTGCTGCAAGCCAAACAAGACAAAACACACGGAAAAGAGCAAGTTTCGGGGAGGACGTGGAGAATCTTGGACCCTCACGTGCCGCTGCTGGGAATGCAAAATGGTAGCACCGCTGTGGAAATCAGTGGGGCGGTTCCTCGGTAAATTAACCATAGAACTACCACGTGACCCCGCCATCCCACTCGCAGATATCTACCCAAAGGCATTGAGAAGAGGTGCTCCCACAGATCCCCGTAGGAAATGTTCACTGCAGCGCTATTCCCAAGAGCCAGAAGGTGGCCATCACCCAAACGTCCATGCACTGGTGAACGGGTGGATACGCAGCGTGCGGTCTCTCCATACCAGGGAATCTCGCTGAGCCGCGAAGAGGAATGCAGCGCTGATTCGTGCTGCCACGGGGACGAACCACAGCGAAAACGTGATGCTAACTGAAAGCAGCCAGGCACCAAAGGCCACCGCTTTATGGTACGACTCCATCTGGAGGAAGTCTCCAGAAGAGGCCGACCTCTGTGGACAGGAAGCAAGAGTGGTTGCCTGGGTGCTGGCCGGTGGCGGGCTGGGGTGGGTTTGCGGGGCGGTGGAGGAGTCGGGGTTAGGGGTCGGGTGGGGCCGGCGGGTGGGGAGCGACGGCCGGACGGGCACAGGGGTTTCTTTTTGGGGTGGCGCCAACGTTTTGGAAGCGGGTAGTTGCGACGGTCGCCCGGCCCCGCGGGTGTCCACTTGGTGGCAGTGGGTCGTCCCCACGTCTGTTGTTCTTCTCCGTCCAGGCTCCCAGCCAGGGGCAAGGGAACGCTCCCTCGAAGAGAGGGTCCAGGGCGCAGCGCGAGCAGGCTCGTGCCGGCGCCCGTTCTTGGCGGGCCCAGGCCCGCCACTTCCGGCGGCCAATGGGAGAGCGGTGACCTCACCGGATCTACCTGTCACGGCGCGTGCGCCCAGACCAACTGGGGGCCGGCCCGACGTCGCTAGGATACCGAGGAGGGGCCTGAGTACCGGCCGTCTTGAGAGCTTGGGGCGCCGCCGAGCCTTCGCACCTCGCCTCGCCGAACCTCACCGCACCTGGTCCCGCCGGTGGCACCTCTCCTCACCGCACCGCACCGCGCCGAGCCGAGCTGAGCCGAGCCGAGCCGAGCCGAGCCGAGCCGAGCAGAGCCGGAGGCTCCGCATCCCACCGCGCCGCCCAAGAGCTAGGCCCGTCGGAGGAGAACGCGCAGCCCACGCCCAGCATGCCGGGGAATCGCAGCCGTCGTCGTCGAGGGTCCTCCCACGGCCAGGGCCGGCCCCGCTCCCGCACCGCCCGAGCGCAGCTGTTGTTTTCCGTGAGCTGGGTGGAGCACCTCCTGCGGGAGGGCCACTACGCCCGGCGCCTGAGCCCCTCCGCCCCGGTCTTCCTGGCGGCCGTCATCCAGTACCTGACGGCCAAGGTCCTGGAGCTGGCGGGCAACGAGGCCTGCAAGAGCGGCAGGAGGCGCATCACCCCGGAGCTCGTGGACATGGCGGTCCACAACAACGCGCTGCTCAGCGGCTTCTTTGGCGCCACGACCATCTCCCAGGTGGCCCCGGGCCGGGAGTAGCTGCCCAGCGCGACCCGGGTCCCCGGGCCGACCGACCGTCGGGCCCCAGGCCCGCTCACAGCCCCGGGGCGGCCCCAGCCTGTCTGGGGCCTCGGGCACAGTCATGGGAAATCTCTAAGAATAAAGTGTTTCAGGAAACCCGCGTGCGTGCTTCGGTCACTTTGCGCGGGAGGTGCTGGTGCCGGGACGTGTCTCCTTGGAGGGAGGGGGAGCGGCGGGGGGTGGGCTCGGGGTGGCAGGGAGGAGTCGGGGATGACAGAGAGGAGCGGTGGACAGCGTGGGGTCGCGGGGGGCCTTGGGTGGGAAGGCTGGCTGGGGTGGGGTCGGGGGTGAGGCTGGGTGCGCAAGACTCCGCCACGGGCTCCGAACAAGTCAGAGCCCGGCCACGTCCCCGGAAGGACGGTGTTCGTTGGGAAGGATGGTGTTCGCTGGGGTGGAGCTCAAGTCCGGGACTGCGGCGTCGTGGCCCGGTGAACGTGCAGTGGCGACCGGGGGTGGGGGTGGCGGTGTGGGGCGGGGGGCGGCATGCGGGGGGAGGAGGTGGGCAGAGCGGTGGGCAAGGACTCCAAGGGGGCAGGGGCTTTGACGCGAAGATGGAGGACGGACGGACACTCGAGAAACAGGCAAAGTCGGCATGAGGGCCACGTGGATCCCGAGTTTCGCTTGGGTCGCGTTGCGTTAGAGACGCTGGGGGACGCCCCTAGCAACCTGGGCCAAAGAGCCGTCGCCTAGCAACAGCGGGCGCCAGGCCAGGCCCCGCCCCGTGGGCCCCGATTTGCATACGCAGCTCGCAGCCAGGCCAGGCCCTGCCCCAGGATGTCAGATTTGCATACAAGCTAGCACAAGGCAAGGCTCCCCCATTCAACATTCTTTTTAATTTTTTTTTCCAATTTTTTGGGTGTGTGTGAGGAAGATTGTCCCTGAGCTAACATCTGTGCCAATCTTCCTCTATTTTGTACAAGGGTTGCTGCCACAGCATGGCTGACAGCAGTGTAGGTCTGTGCCAGGATCCGAACCCGAACACCTCGGCTCCAAAGCGGAGCCTGCCACACTTAACCACTACTAAGGCCATAGGCCCCGCCCCCATGCAACATTCTTGCATATGAACCTTCCCTCTGGAAAGGCATTTCCCCAGAACCCTTAATTTGTATACATAACTTGTGCTCAACCAGGTTCCACCTCTGATCACTGGATTTGCATATCACCAAGGAAAAGGCGCCTTAGGGTCTGAAAGGCAGACTAATAACTGAGTTTGAGACCCATGTTTTAAAATTAATGCCATATCTTTATGCCTCATGTAGTTTGAATTTGATTAGTAAGAACTTTTATGTCTACGGTTTCCCTAGTCTTTTACTGAACTTTAATTTCTTTATTTTTTTATAGTGAGAGCATAAAACCTGAGACTTAAAGAGAAATTATATTATATACCCATATAAGTTTATATGCTAATATATGCCTATATATAATATATAACATAAAGTATATTTAATATATAAAATATACTTGTGCTAAAGTAAGGATTCACTCAGTATTATAGATAGTACTACATGCAGTCCGTGATATTGTGTTATTTCTTTTCTGTTTTGTATCTTATTTTTTATATTATACAATAAAATCCACCTCTTTTGGAGCTCAGTTTTATCAATTTAACACATGTAGAGAGATGTGTGTATCCACCACCACATTCAGGACATGGAACAGCTCCATCAACCCAGAAAAGTCCCTACTCTGGTACTACTGTCCCTTTTCAGTTGTTGTGATTTTTGTTAAATTAACATTTGTTAAGTAGAGCCCCAGGTCCGGTGTCCGACGGTGAGCCAAGGTTCAACAAAGACCGCAAGGAAAAGTGAAACAGAGAACGTTATTACTCACAGGTCCTGAGGAGGTAAACGGCAAGCCTGGTGGGCCACACAGCGAGGTTAAGGTCGGGTACAGGAAGCAAGCAAGCGGCAAGACCTGGGGCATAAGCCTTTATTAGGGTCCACGTGTGAAGTGCTTCTGGGTTTCCCGGGCTGAGGCGGGATTGGTCAATTCAAAACAAACCAAAAAAAGAGTGGGGTTTTGGTAAGCTCTGCGGGAGTCTTATCTAAGGGACCCACAAAGGGAAGGAGCTGGCAGGCAAGAGAGACTGTTTCTCACCAGGAGCTTTTAACACACCATGGCCATTGGGGAAGTCATATCAGGTACTTACACTTACTTGTGACTTGCTGGTTGTCATCTAGGGCATGCACTTGGGGGCAGACTTTGGGTCAGCTCCAGGCCCCTGTAGCCACTTTGCCACAAAAACGGATGCCGTGGCAGCAATATTATGGAGTAAACTCTCAACGTTAGTCAGACCCTTTCCTGAGACCTAACCCCTGACAACCACTGCTCTAGTCTCCGTCTCTGTGGAATTGCCTTCCCCAGAACGTCTTGTAAGTGGACTCATACAGAATGTCACCTTTTGAGACTGGCTCCTATCACTCAACATAGTGCTTTGAGGTTCATCTAGGTTGTTGTGTGTATCAATAGTTATGTTTTATTGTAAAGTATTATTCCATCCTACGGATGTACCACAGTTTGTTTAACCATTTGCCTATTGTAGGACATTTTGGTTGCTTCTACGTCTTGGCAATTTTGAATAAAGCTGCTACAAACATTAATGGATGAGTTTTTGTGTGAATATAAATTTTCATTTCTCTAGGGTAAATACCCAGGAGCTGGACTGCTGGCTCATATGAAAAGTTCCCTCAGGCCCCTTCCCAGTTGGTCTCATCCTCATCCCCTACAGGCAACCATTGTTCTTATTTTTTTCCACCACATATTAGTTTTGCCTGTTTTAGAACCTCAAATAAATGGAATCGTACATGTAGTTACTTTCAGTGAAACCTCTTTTTAGATCCACCCGTGTTGTTGTGTGTATCAATGATTCATTCCTTTTTATCACTTAGTGTTGTTTAGCTGTACTGATAAACCACACTTTGTTTATACATTCAACCGTTCGTGGACATCTGGTCCTTTTCAGTTTTTTATTGTTGTGAAAAAAGCTGCTATGAACATTTGTGTTCTAGTTTTTGTGTGCGCACATGTTTTCATTTCCCTTGGGTAATTCCCAAAAGTGGAAGTGTTAGGTAGCAGGTTAGGTGTATATCTAGCTTTATAAGAAACTGCTGAACTATTTTCAAAAGTGTTTGCACCATTTTACACTGCCACACTGTTCCATATTCTTGCCAACATTTGGTGTTGTCAGCTGGTTAATTTTAGTTATTCTGGTGGATATATGGTGATATCTCATTGTGGTTTTAACTTGCAATTACCTAATGACTAAAGATGTTGAGCATATTTTCCAGTTGCCAGAAGAGTGATGTTAAAATCTTCGACATGATTGTGATTTTTCTAATGTCTAAGTAACCATTCTTATACCTTCTGTTTGTGTGGTATATATTTATACATCCTTTTACTTTCAATCATTCTGTGTCTATATATTTAAAGAGCATCTTTTTAAAATTTTATTTTGTTGTGATAACACTTAAAACGAAATCTAGCCTCTAAATAAATTTTTTAGTGTACAATACATTATTGTTGACTATAGGTACAATGTTATACAGCAGATCTCTAGAATTTATTCATCTGGCTTATGTGAAACTTTATGCCCATTGATTAGTAACTCCCCATTTTCCCCTCCCCTCAGGCCCTGGCAACTCTCATTGCACTCCTTGAGCCTATGAATTTGACTATTTTAGATACCTCATATAAATGGAATTGTGCAGTATTTCTCTTTCTGTGACTGGCTTATTTCACTTAGCATAATGTCCTCAAGGTTTATCCGTATTGTTACAGAGCATCTCTTATAGACAGCATGTAGTTGACCCTTGCTTTTGTATACAGTGTGATTATTAGATTAGTCTGCTATGTTGCCAGAGCTGAAAGTAAGTCCTATCGATATTTTAAAGATGTTGGAATCAAGTTTTAGTTGGAATTCAAGCTCAAAATACTCTTTGCTCCCCTTTCCCCAGCAGTCTTTGCATAGCAGAAGGTTTCCACAAGCTCATGTACTAGGAATGGGAACTCAACATCTAGTTCCCCATTCCACTTCTTGCCTCAGAGATTTTTCTTTTACATGTACAATGAGTTCTGGAATTTAGAAATCTTAAGATCTTTGATCTTTTTTTTTTTTTTTTTTAAATTAACTGTTTCTCCAGGCCTACTTAGGATTCAAGGTCTAAAGGTAGACGTGAGGGTTCTTTAAAAAGGCCAAGAATTTGCTTCCTCTTGTAGCAACTTCCTCAAGGTTTTTAGACCATCAGATTGATAGACTTACAGATAGAGATCTGCAGGCTTGGACTATCAGTCCCTCTGCTGAGTACTCACTGAGTAGGGTAGATGGGCATATCTTATATTTTCCCATCTCTCTCTGTCTTCTCTGACTCTTTGCTCCCAGCCTTCACAGAATATACTTACTTAATGTTACAGACTATTTTTACTCAGGGTTTTTCCTCAGTTCCTAAGTTACGCTTAACATTTTTAGTTAATGCTCTTCTCTGTCATCATCTTAGTCATTTTGTAACGAGGAACTAATAATCTATACACATACAACTTTCTAGTTTCTATTTTATAAAAAAGATTTTCACACACAGCGATCCAAACTCAAGTAATATTTGTATGGGACTCCTGAACTGGAGTGAGTTCTTGGATGTTGTCTGCATATATATTCCCTCTACAGATAACGGTTTGACTTCATCAGCTGCAATGCTACAACATTAGGCTATAGACAAGAATTTTGGATTACATTTTAAGCGTACCTCATGGTACATTAAGTGGATGGGGTTAGGGCAGGCAGAGAAGGACATCATTTCCTTTTTTTTTTTTTCCTTGTCACTGCAATGTTAATTCTTAACTGACCTCATTTCTCTAGTAAAAGCCAAAACTATGAACTAGTTCAGTGCATAATACCTACTTAGGCTCTGTTGGTCCTTCGTATGATCAGTTAAAATGATTCATGTTGCGTAACTGTGAGAAATAGTCTTTTTGTTTTTTCTTCCCATCTTCCAGTTTTTCTCTGTGGGTATGGGTCTCTCTCTCTCTCTCTCTCTCTCTCTCTCTCTCTCTCTCTCTCTCTCTCTCTCTCTCTCTCTCTCTCTCTCTTTCTCTCTCTCTCT